GTCAATCTTTTTCTTCCACTCCGTGTAGTTGTCACCTTTGAGAGTGGGGATCTCTTTGATACAACCCATCAAGTTGTATCCGTCTGGCAACATAATTCATATAGAGTGAGAACATAAATAATAACAACAATTGCATGCCTTAGTTTCAACGTTGGTCAAAATTAAAACATACAACTATTCTTATATATTAATTCTACATCATCGTTGGGTAGAAATAGAATTAATGCATGAAATCGTTAAAATTACGATATTGTTATTAACAACGTTGGTTAGAAAATAACAACATCATAATCATGTCAAAATCTCTTTTTCTCCAATTAAATATCACATTGGTTCAAAATAACTAGAGAATAAACAATTTCTTTAGCAGCGAAAACATGAAAAAAATTCATTATCTATTTTTCAGAAGCATTAAACTTTTCTCAAATATTCTCTAAAAAATTATCCTGTTGGTTCAAATTTTAACAGAGATTCAAAACTTGACACAAATTCATCGAAATTTGTTTCTGAAATTGTCATAACTGCTTCTGAAAAACATTAGCAACTGTTCATTTAGCCCGGCCTCTGGAAAACAGTACGTGGCCTAGCTCTACAGCGTAGCAGCGCGCGGCCCAACTCTACAGCGCAGCAGCGCGCGGCCCAGTCCAGTGAAATCGGCCCGACCTACGTTCATCGCGCACCTGCGGTGCCTTCCCAGGCCATAACCTAGGCTGGGCCGGCAAAGTAGCCTTCCGCGCACGCCCACCTGGGCCAAAAACCAGCCCAGTGGATTTGCGCCGTTGATCTAGATCCGACGGCTGTGCGTGGTTCTCGGGCGAACAAAATCCACTCAGCACCGGCTCCTCCTGTAACCCTAGTTCATTTCTTCTCTCGCCCTCTCTCTCTTTCGCGCAGCAGCTCTCAGCTCAGCGCAACGAGCAGCAGCGGCGATCGAGCGAGCATGGCGTCGTTGCCGGCGCGCGCGCTCCCCCACGCGGGTGAGCGCGCCACCATCGAGCGAACTAGCGGCGGCGCCCTTGGCCGGAGCTCGCACAAGCTCGAGGAGCAGTGGTGGCTCAGCTTCTCCCCGCTCGCTAACGAGGCGGCGACAGAGCTCCTTCCCGCGCGCCGGTAGGAGACAACTCACGCGACGACGTTGGTGACATGTGGCAGAAGACTCCGGTAGGTCCTCCTCTCCTTCATCCGATCTGTTTCTTGGGTGAGGGTTTTCTAGGGTTTGGATTTGATCCGATTTGAATCATCTCCTTCTTCAATCTGTTCAATTTCTTCCCCTTCTTTTCTCTCTTGGATCTTGATTTTCCTTTCTTTTCTTCTCGGATTTGTCCGATTTGGAAATTAGGGTTTGGCTAGGGTTAGGGTTTAACTCACTAGAGTCACTATTCATCTTCCCCAGTGAGTCCTTCTTCTTACTTCTTTCCTTCACCCTGTTAGGGTTAGGGTTCAGTGACCCTCTTTTAGATCCAAAAACCGATGTTCTTTTCTTGCCGCGCGCCAACGAAGACGGCGGTGCAGCACCTTTCCCCGCGCGGTGGTGGTGGTGACCGGCAGTTGAGTGACGCCCGCCACCCCCGGTCTCTTGTCATTTTCTTTTACCCGGTTAGGGTTAGGGTTTCAATCCGAACCATATCGAACACTCTTTTACTTTTGATTTCTTTTCAATTCTCTATGCCATACTAGATCTACACACTGTTAACCTTGCTTTGGTACCATTGTTGGGAAACACAGTACCTCTCTGTAACATAGATCAGGGGTAAGCATCTTACTTAGATGGAGAAATTGGTTCCTCTACTTCGCCCTGGTGTAGTTGCGCCACAGCCGCGTGGACGCCGGTGTTGTGGGAACTCAGCGCGGTGGAGTCCAGTGTAGTGGTGGCGATGTAGAGGCGATGGTGACATGAGGCTAGTGGGTCTTCCCGTTGCTGGCAGCACTCTCTTTAGATCGGGTTAGGTTTAGCTGTTGGTGGCTCATGACGGCTCTAGTCAACCTCATAGTTAGAGCCCTGATCCCCACCTCTCTTTATAGTGTTGTGCGACAGGGGTCCACCAACCATATTAGGGTTGGGCGCCCCCGACCAGGGCACAGATCCAAGGGCCCAATAGGCCATTGGGCCTATTGGTGGAGATCAACTAACAAGCCAAAACCGATTCCCAAAACTAGCTAAGCCGCCAACTTTCTTAAATGCAAGAATGGATTGCACCATTCCTCTCGTGGATCACCCCATTTAGAGTCTAGACGAATTAATTATGATTTTTAGAAGGTTTTCTGCCCTAGACTAGCAGAAACCGGCTAAGCCGGTTCTGGAACTGCTAAGCCGGTTTTGGTAGGCCCAGATCCAATCCAAAACACGTTTTGACATTATTTTTAAGGGGTTTCGACCCCTTGAGGGATAAGACCATCCCCTCTTTATGAATATAAGGGCTACAACCGATTGAGGTGCCCAACACACACAATCGATCAAAAATCAATATATTTCTCCCTCTCTTTGCCATTATCTCTTCCAACCCCATGCTATTCATCGCTTGATCCGACGACAAAAAATGGTGGCCTAGGCTTGTTGGCTGACATAGGGCAACCCGGCAACATCCTTGCCCCGATGGGGTCCTTATCAATTGAGAGCTCCGACAATTCATTTGCTTGTTTGCCCTGAAACTAGCTGTTCTTCGTCACGTAAGCAGGATTGGCTATCCTTTGGTGGTTTGCTCGTAAACCTCGCCATTCTTCACCACATAATTGTGATATCCTCGATGCCCTAGGGCGTTCTCGGGCTCCACCTAAGAAAACCGGCTAGGCCAATTCCCCAAACCGGCTAGGCTAGGTTTGGCCGAATCGTGCCGCCTCAGTCCATTTGTGACCCATGCGATCTAGCACTTTTGGTGTGTGACCAATCCTTACGTTAACACCATTGTTAACTTATCTGAACCTAGGCAATAATAGCCTGTCAATGCCATGTAATCTTACGAGATCACACCAACCGTATTTGTGGTGTGGCCTCCACCTGTGTACTAGAGGGAATGAACTAGAGGGAATGAAGCCCGCGGCGTTTCAGCCAAAAGTTCGAATGCTCGATAGTGAAGATAGCGTGGAGCGGTCTGAGAGAAGATCATCTCGGAGACCCACTTGTGCGTGGGAAAGGCCCAGAGGCTATGCACGGAGTTACCCGACCAGGAGCTTGGCCTTTGCGAGGATATCCTTGTGAGGGGCTCTAACGAGGACTAAGGGGAAGCGTGAACTTTTTGATACCTCGGTAAAAATATTGACGTCGTCGAACGGGAGTTTGCATCTCTATTGCCTCTTTAGCATTCACACTTAGGACTAATGGGAAGCGTGAACGGGAGTTTGCATCTCTATTGCGCAGCTAGCAGAGATTGAGTAGGGGTATACCTATAAAGCTCGATCGATCGACGGCCGGTGCGGGCAACCCATAGCCGACTGTCGGCGGGAGACCTAGCAAGCTAGCTAGCTAATTCGGCGAGCTGCCACCGGCACCCCACGCACCAAAACGATGGCACACTGCACATATCCAGAGGCTAGCTAGGTCGATAGGGATCGATCTAATAGCTAGAGTGTTGACTAATTGGACGGACACACCAGAGCGCCAATATGTCAGAGTAATAGTGCTCGCGAGAGAGGACACAATAAGCCGGCCGGCCATGTTATAGCTTTAGATCGATATCTAGCAAAGAGAAAGCCATCTTTGATACGACACTGATGGGGTGTAATATGCGCGCGTCACTGCTACAGTAGCACACAGACGGGGATATTCCACACGTCAATGATTTTTTATTGAAAATAGATGGGCTACACTCAAAACCGTCTCTGAATTTCTAGCCATCTCTGATATATATTTTTAGAGCAGACTGGTAACAAATGATCCGCATCTCTGAATAATAAACCGTCTCTGATATATTTTATAGAACAGACGGGCCTCAAGGACGCGTGTCTTTGATATATTAGAGATGGCTTATAGTAAGACGCGTCTCGGATATTATGTCATCAGAGATTATTTTGGTTGTGCGGCTGTGGACTAATATTTCAGAGATGATTCTTTATGTCACCCGTCAGTACTACTTTAGTGATGGTGGCTGACTTACCGTCTCTGATTGACGCGTCTCCTTTGTTGCTTTCTGGTGCAGTGACGGGCGTGGTGGGCTCTGTCATCGGCAAGCTAGCCGCCTTGCTCGGCGAGAAGTACCAGCTCACCAGAGACGTGGAGCGCGGGATCTGCTTCCTGAAAGACGAGCTGAGCACCATGGACCCCGTGCTGCAAAGGCTCGCAGACAAGGACGACGACCAGATCGATCCACTCACCAAAAACCGGAGGAACAAGGTGCGTTAGCTATCTTACAATATTGGGGTTTGCTTGGTCTTCAACCAGTTGAATATTGTTTTTATTTCCTAGCATGACATCGCAAGTTGCGCGCCGGCCACCGTCGGCCAGCACAGCAGCACTTATCATCACATGGCTTGCGGATTGAGATGGCCTGGCCGAAATAGAAAAACTAAGAGAGAGAGAGAGAGAGAGTTGGTGGAAGGAAGTGGTTACAGAGGAAAGTGGAAGGAAATTTCGTGTCATATTTGATTACAATAGTAGGTAGCTATTTATTATTGAGAGACTAGTTTATAAAGCTAGTGACATGAATCTATATATGCATTGGGGGTGGCTATTTTCTTCGTCCACGAAAACTTATAAAGGGATGTAACATTTTTTGAAATAGTGTAACGAAACATATCACTGAGATCGGCAAAAAAAAGGGCTCCCTTTCACAAATTCAAAAGCATTCTTTAAATTAATCTTCTCGAGAACTGAAGCCATCGTGTGGACTGCCAGCGACAACGTGCCTTGGAGTGGTTCTCGCGAATCTAGAGCAGAATTATATATTTAACTAATGGGATGTGTCGTTGTTTGCCCCACTTTAACCTGAGAACTGAATCACCTATCCTCTCTCATACCACCGCACAAGGTAGCTAGCATTTCACTCAGCCAGTAGTCGCGAGTCAAGATGGCCGAAATGATCTCGAGTGCTGCCACGGGTGTGTTGGGCTCCGTCATCGACAAGCTGGCCGCCATGCTCACCGACAAGTACAACCTTGCCAGAGACGTCAAGCAAGGGATCCGGTCCCTGCAAGACGAGCTGCGCACCATGGAAGCCATGCTGCTGAGGCTCGAAGACAAGGACGACGACCAGATCGATCCACTCGCCAAAGACTGGAGGAGCAAGGTGCGTGAGCTGTCCTACGATATTGAGGATTGCATCGACCGTTTTGTGCTCAATCACAGCCATGGAGATGGAGGTTCCACGGCCAACTTCGTGCACAAGGCCATTCAAATGGTGAAAACGTTGTTCAAGGACAGAGGAATAGCAGAGGAGATCCGACGACTCAAGAGGCTCGTGAGCGAGCAGAGCGAGCGGGGGAAACGCTACTACGACATCAATCAGTGTCTCCTCGCCTCTTCATCTCAGCCAGTGCTCTTGGATCCTCGAGCACCTGCACTCTTTCAGGAGGCCAGGGATCTTGTTGGAATCGATGCTCCTCGTGAGGAGATCATCAGCTTATTGAGATGTGAAGACAAGGAGCACAAGGTGGTGTCCATCTATGGGATAGGTGGACAGGGGAAGACCACTCTCGCCATGGAGGTGTACAACAAAATCACTGAAGCTGCTTTTGATAGCCGGGCTTTTGTGTCTGTATCACAAACTCCAGATATGAAGAAACTTCTTAGAGATATATTGTCTCAAATAAGCCAGAGACATTTTGACCAGCCACAGATGTTAGAGACAGTTGAGCAGCTCATCCGCACAGTGAAAGAATGCTTAAAGGACAAGAGGTAATCAATATTATTTCTTTTTCTAATAGTTAACCAGTTCATCTAGCTAGAATAATGTCGTGCAATATTTGTTCATCAAATGAGCTCACCGAATTATTAGGCCATTTATGAAATTTTCTGGGAATTTTAAAAAATGATTCATTTTTTCCGGGCCTAATGAACTTGACAGCATAAAATTACCTCAGATACTTCAATGTCTCAGCATATCTATCAAATGTCATCATTAAAGATGTTGCAACAATGAACAAACTCAAGTCAACTGTGCATCATTTTGGTAAAATTTTTACTTTACACCATCTAATCCATACTCAGTAAAATTACTTCTTGGAAAATATGACCAGAATTCTAAATATCCAAAAATATCTCATTTTGGAACTCAGCTTTTGAACTGAATGCGTCATGTCTTTTGAGTGGGTCCCTAGGTGTTCTAATGCGGCACTTACCATTTTGGAGGTTGTAACATATTTTTTAAATATTTGTAGTTTACAGACTGTATTTCTCATGTGTAATAATTACTGATAAAAAAGTGTGCCACTACGATCCATCTTATATTTCTCCGACATCTTTAACTTCACTGGAATACGCTTCAATTCATGGTTGCCTTACATAATTAATAACGTGATTCCACAACCAATGTATGCAGGTACTTCATCTTGATTGATGATATCTGGAATGTCGATGCATGGGAGCTTGTACGATCTGCCTTACCTCGCAATGACAATGGAAGCAGAATTATTACTACAACACGCATTGAATTAGTAGCCAAATCTTGTTGTACTGGTATTGCTGCACAAATGTATCAAGCAAAGCCCCTTAGTCACGAGGACTCCCAAAGATTATTCTTTAAGAGGCTATTTTTGTACGGTGATGATTGCCACCCAGATTTGAGGAAAGTATCCGATGATATTTTAAAGAAATGTTGCGGCTTACCACTAGCCATAATCAGTATAGCTGATTTATTAGCAAACAGAAGCAAAGCACTGGATGTCTGGGTCAATGTATTGAGGTCTATTGCTGCTGCAGTTGACAAAGATTCTCCCATTGATAAGATGAAAAGAATCATGCTGCTGAGTTACGTTGACCTTCCTCACCATCTAAAGAGCTGTTTGTTATATCTGAGTGTGTTTCCAGAGGATTATCATATTGATTGCCGACAGTTGATATTGCTATGGGTAGCCGAAGGACTGGTTCCTGGCCAGGACAGGGAAAGTATGGAGCAGCTAGGGAGAAGTTACTTGAATGAGCTCATCAATAGAAGTTTGGTGCAGCCAACCAAGGTTGGGGGACACGGCGCAATAGTGAAACAGTGCAGAGTTCATGATGTCATACTTGATTTCATTGTATCAAAGGCTGAGGAGGACAACTTTGTTACTATATGGAATAGTAATGGTTTTTATAAAAATTATTCTTCGAACAAGATTCGCCGTCTATCCATCCAAAAAGACATTCCATCCCGGGCGAAAGAGATTGCCAAGACAATAAAAAATGGAGCTCAGATCTGATCCATCAATATCTTTGGCTCAAATTCAGTTCTGGTTAATAAGCATGCCACAGAGTTCTTAAACAGCCAAGTCTTGCGAGTGCTGAATATTGAAGTTGAATATTGTGAATGCCCTCTTGGACATGTCAAAAGTTTAGGTCAGTTGAAGTACTTGAAGTCCAGCAAGCTTCCAGAAGATATAGAAAAGCTGGAACGTCTAGAGACACTAGACATGAGATGGGCCAGGCTTGAAAACCTACCAACATGTATTATCCAGTTGCATAAGTTGGTGCGCCTTTTTGTCCATTCATCGGTGCGCCTACCCGATGGAATCGGAAGTCTGCAGGCGTTGGAAGAGGTATCAACGATCAATTTGGGTATTCAATCTCTAAAGTTTATCCAAGGACTCGGAGATCTGACCAATCTGAAATTACTTAAAATTGATTGGTCATGCTCTACTGAATTACGTGATATGGAGGATCACAAGTAAGCATGTATCTCAACGCTCTCCAGGCTGTTCAGTCACCTGCGAGAACTACGTGTGTGGCAGAGTCATCCTGCCACATGTTCATTCATGGCTTCATGTGTCCCTACTTCACCACCACTTCAACAGCTTGTTCTTAATACACGTGACTTAAATAGGGTGGGCCCTCAAATCAGCTCACTAGTCAACCTGACCCGCCTCCGCATTCGTGTCCTTGGTGAAGCAGACAAGGATGGAATAAATATCCTAGCAAGCTTCCAGAAGATATAGAAAAGCTGCAACATCTGGAGACACTAGATTTGAGACGGCAATGTCTTGAAAAGCTACCAGCAAGTATTATCCAGTTGCAGAAGCTAGTGCGTCTTCATGTCCATCCGTCGGTGCACCTACCTGATGAAATCGAAAGTCTGCTGGCGTTGGAAGAGCTATCAACAATCGATTTGGGTATTCAATCTGTAAAGTTTATCCAAGGACTCAGTGATCTGACCAATCTGAGAATACTTGAAATTGATTGGCAATACTTTAGGAAGGATCAGAAGGAAGCATGTATCTCTACGCTCTCTAGGCTGTTCGGGCACCAGCGAGAACTGCGCGTGTGGGGGAGTGAACCTGATGCCACATGTTAATTCATGTCTTCGTGTGTCCCTACTCCACCACCGCTTCAAATGCTTCTTCTTGATACACATAACTTAAATAGGGTGGGCCCTCAAATTAGCTCACTAGTCAACCTGACCCGCCTCCGCATTTTTGTCCATGGTGAAGCAGGCAAGGAAGGAATAAATATCCTAGCAAGTTTACCCATGCTGCTCTCTCTTACAGTTACCTTATCCAATGACCAAGATGGAGATGCAGGCATCCTCTTCGCAAGGCATGCAATCAACAGGCAAGGATTCCAGAGTTTGCTCAAGTTGAATTTGCGCTGTTGGCGCGAGGCGGCATTGGAGTTTGAGCCGGAAGCCATGCCAAAGCTCCAAAGGCTCAAGCTGGAACTGAGGGCACGGTGCCAGTTCAAGTTTGGGGAAGGTGGCCTCGTCCTTGGGCTGCAGAATCTTGGACTAGGCCTCAAACATGTGGCTGTCGTGGTTGTCTGCTACGCTGCTGTTGCAGACGAGGTGGAGGCTTTGGAGGATGACATCAGGGGCGCAGCAGCCGTCCATCCCAACCGTCCCATACTCCAGATCCAAAGAATTCATCAAGATTGGATGGCTCAGGGGTGCAGCAGGCGTCCATCGGACCATGCCATACTAGAAGCCTAATGAAGACCATTGTGAGTACATGATGTGGAGAATAAGTATGACCACCAATTATCATATGTTTTTCCGTTTTTAGGTACGTACGGAGTATGTAGGAATTGAACAAGGCAAATTCAACCTCTCGGATGGCAGGCGGCACCGCTGGTTGATAGCTATCTCAGTCTTTCAGGGAGCTTAAACTGGTGGTTCCAATTGCTTTCTGGATTTTAGTTGTGACAATGCCTAGATAGGTTTGCTTGCGTAGTTTTGTCTGGTACGACCCTTCATTTTATTTTAGAAATTCTAGTCTTCTTTTTTATGCATTGAGTTCATCCGTCACATGGTTCATTATTGTATTTGTTATCGATCAATATTTGTAACGTAACTCCCAAATTTTTTGTGTCATGTGTAACGTTATTTTAAGCTTGAGTAGAATACATCAGTGACTCTTCTGTTAATTATTAGTGACATGTGTTACGGTGCTTGAGGGTAAACTGTGGTTCCTCCCTTTGATCATTAATGAACCGTTGAGACTAACTAGAAGTGCTTTAATGTTAAGAAGGGTCTTGTGCACTTGGAACTGCTATTACTTATCCGTGTCTCCTAGAGCCGCCGACCACTGCTGCTGCCTACCCCGGCCCGCTGCAGACAGCCAATGGGAAGACAACAAAGGTTTGAGACTTCGTAGTACAACTATAAAGCTTTGTGTTCATTTATTGCAACAACCTGATGTAATCGGAAGTCTGCAAGTGTTGGAAGAGCTATCAAGGATTAATTTGGGTATTCAATCTGTAAAGTTTATCCAAGGACTCGATGACCTGACCAATCTGAAATTACTTAAAATTGATTGGCCGTACTTTACTGAATTTCGTGATATGGAAGGCCATAAGAAAGCATGTATCTCATTGCTCTTCAAGCTGTTCACGCGTGTGGGGGAGTGATGCTGATGCCACACGTCCATTCATGTCTTGGTGTGTCCCTACTTCACCACCACTTTGAAAGCTTGTTCTTAATACACGTGACTTAAATTGCATGGGCCCTCAAATCAGCTCACTAGTCAACCTGACCCGCCTCCGCAGTTTTGTCCGTGGTGAAGCAGGCAAGGAAGGAATAAATATTCTAGCAAGTTTACCCATGCTGCTCTCTCTTACTGTTGGCTTATTCAATGACAAAGATGGAGATTCAGGCATCGTCTACCCAAGGAACGCAGTCAACCCACAAGGGTCTTGTTTAGATTGGGGTTAGGAATCAGTATTTGGCACTGTAGCACTTTCGTTTGTATTTGACAATTATTGTCCAATCATGGCTTAACTAGGCTCAAAAGATTCGTCTCGTAATTTACAATCAAACTGTGTAATTAGTTATTTTTTTTATCTACATTTAATACTCCATACATGTGTCCAAAGATTTAATGTGATGAAGAGAGAGTGAAAAAACTTGCAATCTAAACAAGGCCAAGGATTTCAGCGTTTGCTCAAGTTTCATTTCCGCTGTTATTGGTGTGACGCGGCATTGGAGTTTGAGCCAGGAGCCATGCCAAAGCTCGAAAGGCTCAAACTGCACCTGATGGCACGGTGCCAGTTCAAGTGGGAAGGTGGCCTGGTCCTTGGTCTGCAGAATTTGGCAGGCCTCAAACATGTCGACGTATCCCAATAGTCCCATGCTCCAGGTAAGAAGACTTGATCAAGATATATTTAGTTCCATGGCTCAGGGGTGCAGCAGGCGTCCATCTGACCATCCCATCCCATATTAGAAGCCCGATGACCAAGTGAATGCTATTTCGAGTTGTTATCCACTTATCCTCATGCACTGCACGGCACCTCTGATTGTACTTATCTCAGTTCGTCAGGGGTACTGTGTCTTTTAGTTCTAATAATGCTTAGACGTTTGCAAGGATTTATCTTGTTTTTACTTGGTTTCGTTTCAGAAAAGTCTATTTTTTCTTTTATGTGTTGAGATTATTCTTCACATGGGTCATTATTGCGTTTCTTTCTCATGGTAGCTCACTAGTTGCTTTAAACTAGTAAAGCAAAATGCATCAGTGACCCTCAATTTGTCCCGCCTTGTATATGGTCTCTTAATGTATATAGAAAAACTTGCAAACAATGGCTTTGACCTTGATATGTGGGCCTTAAAGATATTAGTCCAGATTGTTAGAAATAATCTACTGCTCCCTCTGTACCCGCGCAGCAGGGGATGTCACAAAAGTCAGCCCTGCTGTCACATCTAGTCACTATAGCAGCATGGTAATAGGATATGTCTGTGTACTAAGATTAGATAGGAGTAGTTGGGGGTTGGAGTACTTGCCAACCACCCTTGTACCTGGCAAGCTATGCAGCTCAGATACGGATACGAGTATCGGATACGCAGATACACCATTTTTGAAAAAAGCAATGACACAGAGATACGGCTGGTATACTTTAATAATATATTTAGTAACTAAATAACAAACCGATTGCAAGTTTGATGAGTTCAACAAATAGATAACTAGGGTTCAACTTAAATTACAGAACAAAGTAATGCAGCGATTTAATTTAAAAAGGTGAAATAAGGAGCATAGAGACCTTACGAGAAAATTCACTTATGACTCAATTTTCTTCTCCAGCCTCTGCAATTTTGTTTTGAAGTTGTTGAAGAACTGCTTCTGTCACATTGGGGCACACATTGATTCCACGTTATGTATAGGAAGCAAATGTTGATTTAATTGTACAGTAGGATACGAGGATGACCACACAGTATTTGCATCTTAAGTGCGTGATTCTTCCAACACAAGTGGTGGTGCTGTAGATGCTGCACCAGGCGATCTCCCGTGGCGGCGATGGGATGGATGATACAGAGAAAATCAAGGAGCCAAATCAGAGCATTAGAATGGAGCAGAAGATTCAAGGCTTCGTGCCGGTCAAAGGTCGCACGGAACGGGCGGGCCTGGAGGTCTGTTTGACGTATTGGGCCGTATCCCATGCCGCCCAACCGTATCCGATACAAGTATCCGAGCCAATACGTATCTGATTTTTGAGACACGCCTAGGATACGTATCCAAGACGTATCCGACGAGTATCGATACGTCTCGGATACGCGATACGCTACCCTCTAGAAGTATCTGCGCATCATAGCTGGCAAGGTACAGCTAGAGTTGTACATATACTCATGCATAGCAATAGACATCACAAGTTTAGTTCTCCACACCCGAGCAGAGTTTTAGCCAACGTTAGTGCTTGCTCGGTGTGTGTGTGTGCTGTTCTCACTGCCTCTTCAACCTCTAGCCTAGTGTGAGTGTGCGAGAGTGCCGGTGAGCAGATTGCTCACCCGTGCGAGAGATCTCGGGCCTACAAGTGATATCAGAGTCAAGGTGGGTGTTCGCCTACGACGATGGAGGGTGACGGCAGTCAGGATGGTGGCGAAAAGTCACCACGGCGGTCCCGGTCGCAGGTGCGTCGCAAGGTGGTCATCCAGAGGGCCGTGTGGGATGTTGGTGGAGCCAACTGGCCGGTCCTCACTCAAACCAACTATGACGAGTGGTCGGTGACTATGAAAGTCAATATGGCAGAACCGTCTAATTTAATGCCTCCCAGGAGTACTTGTCCTCCATTAGACACTAAGTACTCAAGGGAAGACACCAAATTACGCAGTTCCGTCGAGCATACCCAAGAGAGAATCCAAAAATCCATATTTTTCTATCAGGATCATAAATGAGAGAATAAAGCTTACAACATTTTAGTCATTTCTTACATCACTTTACATGCTGCATCAGAGTATAATATTTATGAGTCAAGGTGGACTCAGCGCGGTGCTTGGACCTCCATCCAGAAACCACCTCTAAAAGTCGGTTCGGAAAGAGCCGGAACCCATGACAAGAGAGCAACAAGCCTTCCCTACGCCCATACACAAGTATATGCTCGGGATAATAAGTCTGTGACTTGTCTAGAACCCAATGCAACGGTCGGTCCATAACCGACACAGACAGGGAAAATGTGTAACCAAGCTATGTCCCATTGGCCGCAGGACACAACCTCTTACACCCACCAATACCCAAACCATATCCCTGCCCGGTCTCCATTTATCATTCATATATATATTCCAAGTGATAATAATATAGTAACAATAATAATATATTTCCTATCTCTCGTGAGTAACAGGCAATCACTCGACTTCTAACGGAGTCCTGTAGCATAGCAATCTACACGATCCTATCATACTAGTAAGACTCATAGGATAAAGATATATATATATATATATGCAAGTGGGTTTCATTCAACTTCTTAAAACTTAATGCACAAACATAATCTAAAGTATAGAAAAGTAGAGGTTATGCACCGGGGCTTGCCTGTGTAAGATTTAATTAGAAGTTAGCTTTCCGTCATGGCGACACGATCTTCAAAAGCACCATTTCACCAGCAACTCCCGATGACTTCGCGATCCATCGACGTCCCTATTATGATATGCAATGCGATGCAATGCAAAGACGTAATTAATCGACTGCAACCGTAACTCGTAAAATATGATTTATGCCTCTCAAGTTAACGAGCTAGTTCTAACGACGACCGTACTTAGGCTACATATCCATGTTGTCGAATAAGGCGTTATTTCCCAACAAATGTTTTAGTTAAACAAACCCAAGTTGTTTCTTTCTTCCATTCTATCAATTTAATCTTTATTCAAAATAGGGCATCATTATCTATCTAGCAAACTAATTACTTTGGAGCTACAAAAATTTCAGTGAGCAGCTAATAATATTAGGAATTCACTGTAAAATTTTTAGGGTCAACACTTTCACCATTTCCCCACAAAAATTCCCATATGTTCACATTTTAACAATATTAAACATTTTAAAATAATTAGGGCAACCCTAAAAACAGCACCAACTAGATGAACCAATTATGCTAATAGATAGATCATGATTTTTGGAACTCAACAAAATTTGTTCCATAATTTTTGAACTCCTAAATGATTTTATATTTAAATAACAAAATTAGCTCAGAATTTATTTTAGGAAATCTTCACTAATTCATTGGAAAAAGAAAAAG